GGTCCGCTCGGAGCCCCTGTCCCTCTCCCAGCCGCGCAGGCACAGGCAGAGCCCTGGGTGAGTAGTCTGGGAGCTCCCTTACTCCACCAGGCAGGCCAGAACCGTTCAGGGCCCCTTTTCCACATCCCTTTCTTCTGTTCTCAATCGTGTGCCTGGAAGGTGCAGGAGATACCTGTCCTCTGGTAGGCTAGTCAAGCTGGGATCCTTGCTTGGGGAGGGATTTTTGAAAGGCTTCGGTATCTGCGCCTTAAAACAATGTCATACTACTAAGTTGTCTGTCTCAACTTAGAAATCTTCTTCTTCCCTTGTACATAAGCTTCTCTTCTCCCTCCCATCTCCCCCCCACCCTTTTCCTTTTTCCTTCTTTACAACTTTTCCAGCCTTACGGAGCTGCCTTCTTCACTTTCACCTGGAAATTTAATAGGTAATAAGCCAATGATAAGCTGAGGGACTTAGTCATTGGAGGTTATTACTAACAAGTGACTTAAAACATCTGTGTGTTTCTCTTTTGTTCTCCCCTAGGCTGAACAGTCATGACAGCTGAAAAGACTATTCCTATAATTAATGGCAAGCCAGAAGATGCTTTGGACCCAGAAGCCTCAAGTACCAATCTCGTCCACAGCAATGATAAGAAAGTTCATGAAAGAGGTCACTGGAACAATAAGGTTGAATTTGTGCTTTCTGTGGCAGGGGAGATTATTGGGTTGGGAAATGTATGGAGATTCCCATATCTTTGCTACAAGAATGGAGGAGGTAAGATGGCATCATACGTTGATTTACAGCTCGCCATAAACATGTGGGAAATCAACAGTTAAGAATGCTTTACAGTGATTTCTTGCACTAGTTAAGAGAGAGGTATTCAGGAATTCAGTGTATGTGCAGATAGGGAAGTATTAAGCATCTGACAACTACGAAAAAATCGTTGTGTTTCTCCTTCCTTCTCCTCCCCGAATATTGTGTGGCTTACTTTCACAAGTTTCTTTTGTGTTAGTAAAAAAAATTGACTTTTTTTTTCTATGAGATTTTTAATGTGGAAGACGCTAGTGTTCTGTTATAGTAGTACACTGTGGGTTTTCTTCTGCATGTGAGTACAGAACCAAGCATACTTAAATAAGTTTGTCTGATGTAGAAAAGAATGTAGTATTTTATTTTTCACAACGGTACACTTTGGAGCGGATGAATATTGCTTTTGATAATGCTACAAAGATTACTTTCTTTTTCTTTGTCATATGAGAATTTCTTTAACTCAACCATACTTTTTTCCCTTATTACTTCCCATATTACTACAGTAGGGTAGGGGAAGGTGTAAAAGCTGCCTGTTAATCAAAGAAGAGAGCAAACCCCATAAAACTTAGAGTAAGAATGTTATTTGAGAGAGAAAAGAACAGACTTAACTTCTATAAAAGTGTAGCATGTGGCATGTATAGGTTATAGTTAAGTATAAACTATGTAAGACATGACAGTTAGGAATAAGCATGTCAGCTGTGACTTGCGAAGCAATGAGGAAAGAAAAGTAAATTTAAAATTAGTTTAGAATTCTGTGGACTGGATTCAACATTCTCCCCACTGAAGGGCTGAATCAGTGTTAATGTAAGCATATAGGCTGGGAGAAAAATAGTATGTTCAGTGGCTGATACGCAAAGATCTGTTCTTTAACAGGTTTGTTTGCTAACAATGCTGTGCCAAATTTCTTTCCCGTGTCCCTCCAAACCTAGGCATGGTTGTCTGAACTCAGGGATGGTTTTGGCCCATTTTGTCTGCTGTTTCTATAAGGCTAGTACTGCTGTGGAAGATGTGTTTATGGTTTGCAGCTCCTTTCTTTATATATCTGTACTTCGGCAAAACTAAGATAACAAGAATTCATCTGGAGGAAAAGATAGAAATATTTTTTCAGTATATAGTGAAGATTTCCTTGTTCATACAGTAACCTTTATATGCCCATTTGTGTATATGCTAGCTTGTCAAAATGTGATGCAATCATTTTTAAGGTTAGGTAGAAAAAATTCTAACCATGTTTTCAGGTGATTTGGTGAAAAAGTAATTACTTAAATATCGTACTTAATCACTGCTCTATCCTTTAAGAATAGAATTAATGTGTGTGGTTTAATTGGTCATGTCCCGGCACCATGGGAAATTTGCCATTGACTTCAATTTTATTCAGTGAGGACTTGGTCTATGACCAGTGTTTCTGTAACTCTTTGGAATGCCCTGCTGGAATTAGACCAGAGTTGGACTTGTTGCATCAGGTGTAAATACTGAAAACTACTTAGTGTGTGGTAAGTGAAGACAATGGTAAGATATATGAGCTAGTTATGAAATAACTTGCTAGATACCGAACGAAACTAGAAGCAGTAGTATGGAACTTCTGAGGTCTGACCTCTCTCTGGTACTTACTCCCAGACATAACTGGTAGTATAGGCATAAGCTTCTATAATTTTAATTTGTTCTTATGGATATTTAGTGCGGTTTTTAGGAAAATTAATTTCTTTGCATGTTTAGAATTAGATGTTTCTTGGAATATGATCTGTTTGCAAGCTGGGAAACCTGGTGTCCTCTAATTTTCCTGATGTATACCTGTTGTAGAACAGTGTTGGAAAAACAAAGTCAAAGATAATACTTTCAGTTTCAACAAGTTACCATGTTAAACTCGCTATGATCGTGCGTATGAGTGGGTCAAGCTGGATTTGATACTGGCCAGCAGTTCACCCAGCCTGTAAGGATTTTGTTCAAACCGTTTGCACGGTAAATCATACAGAGAAACCATGTTTTAGATGCAAGGATTCCATTCTTTGTGAAATCCACATGTATTGCTTGAGATGCAGCTGACATTCAACTATAGGCAAATTGCCTGGCTGAGGGAAGAGAGTACTTATGAAGAGATCTCGCTTGATGTGCCGGGTCTGAAGAAAGAAACTGCAAGTCAAAGCAGCTGTATTTAGTTGTCTCAACTTTCTAATCAAAGTGACTAAAGCATAACAATTGTTGCAGGTTGTGGGTGTGTTGTGGGGTGTGGTGTTTTCATGAACAGGATACCTATTTGCCTTGTAGTTGTAGAAATTTTCCTGAAGTATATTCAGAAACATTTTGTTCATAGTTAATATTCTGACACGGATTAGTATTAGAGAGGTAGCTATTAAGGTGCTGTTCATTAATGACCAAATTGATCTTCAGGACTCCCATTGAAGGAAGGAAATGCTGCTATTGCTAGTGCTCTGAAGAACTGATCAATATATGCAATGATGGACAGCACTGTAAAACACATCTTCCTAGGAAAAACTGCATCCACCAAAACTTCTGTGTGTTTAGCATATCTTGTGTTGATTTGAAATGGAACAAATGGTGGGATGCTTACATCACTTAACGGGAGCTTTAAATGAAGTTAATTAGTGTTGTGGGATTATTTGTTTGGGAGCAAGTAGATTAAGGCCTGGATACAACACACTATGTATGTTGTACTAATCTTTATTTTCATAACACAATTAGTTTAGAATTTGTAATTTTCCTACAACTTCAGATAAATTATTCTGTGCTGCACAAGTCTGCCTGGTTAAACCAGGTTAAAACTTTTCTGCTGTAAGTAAAAATGGCAGAATCAGTTATTTTGTGCTTTCTTCTCAGTATTTATTTCCTTCATTCCTTGTGTCAGTCTAAACCAATACAGTTGCTTGCTTTCCACCTCATCCTTTGACTCATCAGAAAGTCTGAGTACTTGGGGAATGAGGAAAAAAATTCTTTATGGCCTTGTATGTTAAAAGATGCTCTGCGTAGTCAAAAGGCTTTATTCCTTATTATTTAGGTTCAGTTCTAAATGGAATACCTGAAATCTACATTAGCAAGTGACATTATGCTTAATGTATGTATCTTCTCTCATTTCTTTGCTTCTGCATACTTCACAGCCATGTTCTTTAGGTGCCACACCTAGTAACACAATCATTAGATAATACAATACTTCTGCTATGCGTTAATCGATAAGTGAAGAATTCTTTTTGTTGTTGTAAACAACACTTCAGCATTGAATTGTACTATTCATTATCTATGCTGGAGTTTACTGGCATCTAACAAAAATGTTGATGCTTTGTTATTTTCCTACAATTTCATATAAATATTTCTAGCTGATAAGGCCAAGCCCTCCTTTCCTGTTCCTCTAAATAGTTCTAAAGTTTATTTCATCATTACCTTTTCATCATCCTTATCATCAGGCTTATCCAAATAACACACAAATGACTTCTTGGATTTAATTTCCATAACACTTCTTCATCCCTGCTTTCCTAAGAAAAGTAAGGAAGAGAAGATAGTGTAGACTGACTTGGTGATGATCAGAGCAGAACTGTGTGGCTGAGCAAGACTCTGGTCTTTTCTGTGTTTGAGACACGTAAGCAGAATTTAGTCTATACTGAGGAACTTTGGTCTGATCTTTTCTAGTCCATGACATTTGCTTACAGGTTAACTTTTGATATTTGGGGCCAGGAGTAAACACTTTTTTAACACTTTTAACACTTTTTAAACTCGGAGCACGATGGCTGAGAGGTGCTTAATAGGTGATCCTTCCTTTATTAAGAAAATTAATTTCTCACTATGCTGTCAAGGAACTGTATTCATTATAACCAATACACTCTCAATGTTTGCTTGTAGGTGCTTTCCTTATCCCATATGTGGTTTTTTTTATTTGCTGTGGAATACCGGTATTTTTCTTGGAGACAGCCTTGGGACAGTTTACTAGTGAAGGAGGCATTACATGCTGGAGGAAAGTTTGCCCTCTATTTGAAGGTAACAAACAGTTACGTGTTCTACTGCAAAAGAATGCATTAAATTTGAAGTAAAATAAGATAAACTTGTATCAAAATTGAAGTTAAGATATACTTAAAGTAGTAAGCATTTGTTTTTAAATTACCTGAAAAGTAAAAGTTTTCTATTGTGTCTCGCTTTTTTTTCTCTAGGCATTGGATATGCTACCCAAGTTATAGAGGCACATCTGAATGTATATTACATCATCATTTTAGCGTGGGCTATCTTCTATTTGTTTAACTGCTTTACTACAGAGCTTCCTTGGGCTACCTGTGGGCATGAATGGAATACAGGTATGACCTCAGTAGAGATTATTGCTATACAAATACTTCCAATTAATTGATTAATATATTAAAATGTCAGGAACAAAACTATTCTGGTAGAAAAATTTGTGGAAATGGGCCAATCACATCACACTACACCATGATAAAGGAATCATGAAGACTTATTCATACCTTTTTGGTTTAGGTCATTGTATAAGCATTTGTTCCTGCAGAATATAATGTCAGATAGCAGAAGATGACTTTGGATTTTGTTAATTCTGTAAGATATTCTGGCTAAATCCCAAGACCCTCATTTGCAATCATATCTATTCTCCCTGAATACAGTAAGTGAATTCTACTGAAGACCTGATGACAGATTACAATCTTGCTCTTTCACTGTAATGAAATCAGGAGGAGTTTAAATGGAGAGGAAAATATTAAATGTGGAACTTTTGGATTTGCTCTCTTTAATGCCAGATGTTGAGGGATAATGTTCATCAAGCTACTTCTGAAAATTTAGTCGCATAAATAATCCTTACTCCATGCAAAGTAGCCTCTTACATGAAATATGAGGTGTGTATTCGTAAGGGCTTGCAGTATAGGGCTCTGCATCTGTCCTCTCATTGATATTTTTATCTGTAATGCTCTACTTACTGCATTTGAAGATCACAAACATCTATGGGGAGGAATACACACCAATGCTTTTATTTCCATGTTCCTGAAGTTACTGCATTTATTCCTTATATTACTGTCCGATTTCAAATCATGTATCAACTGTACTCTCTTTCATACTTTGTATTAATTGGTCATTATCATGTTCTTTGAGCACACCTAAAGCTATCTGAAATCTTGCAGTTTAGGTTATGTGAGGGAACTAGTCTTGGAACTAGCCCAATAGATGTGGAAGGCTTCAGTATCAATTTTGGCAGCCCTGCAAAGTTGCTTAGCCAATGTTGATAGCTATTCAAATACTAAGTGTCAACTCAACAATGCTGAGCTGCTTTGATCTCCTTTCTCTGTATTAGAGATAATAATAATAAGCCAGAGTGACTTTTCACTTGCCATATTAAGGCAAAGTGGAAACCTGTTGCTGGCAGTGTTTCCTAAGCCAATTGTTACCATTGGCCATTGAACAGCAGTTGAAGTAGGAGTATGTTGTAATTACCAATCAATTGCCCCAGTTTCTCAAAGTGTCTGTCTTCTGCCTCAGATGTTTTATTGGCCCTTGCCATTGCAACTGTGCCTTTGGAAAGTGTTATAGGAGTATCCAGCATACTGCATGGATATTTTTCTGGGATAGGCCTGTGGTCTGGTGATCAAAATACAGTGTTCTGGATGTAGCAGCTGTGGCATTTTAGTGTACCTAGGAGTCCTTTAACCACATAGAGAAAATGTATTATGGAATGGTGGCTTTACAAGATGCACAAACGAGAAGATGCACAAGAAGAAATGTAATTACATGTCAATATAGCAAACTGTTTTTTGTTCTTTTATAGAAAACTGTGTGGAATTTCAAAAACTTAATATGAGCAACTGCAGTCAAGTCTCTTTACAAAATGCCACTTCTCCAGTGATGGAATTCTGGGAGTAAGTGCACATAAACTTTACGTTTGATCAAACTATTCATTATCTTCCAGTATTTTGATCATTTACACATTATTAGATAGCTTGTAACCTTATAGCACTTAGTGATGTGAGTTCAGCTGGAAATTTTCTCATACAGCCGAAGAGAGTCAGAATGAGAGTTTTAACTCTTTTTTTAGAGGATACAAGGAAAGGAATTCCATATCCTGAAAGAACATAGAACAAAGTGTGCCACTTGCTTGGGAGCTTGGCTCCTGCTGCTGGAGGAAAGAGCCTCAAACCCATACTAATGAGGAGGCAGAGGTGAAAGAAAGAGGGTGATTTTAAATATTTCTTGTTTTTTTTCCGGGATGTTCCATCTCTTAAGAGTTTGAGAGTTGCTTCTTCATCCTTGTTTGAGCTAACTAATACTTTGGCTTCTGTATCTCGTTTTTTTTTAAAGGACTATGTAAGTGTTAGCTATTCAGATATAATAACGTGAGAGTTTAACTCTCTTGTGTCTCCTTGATTCTGATTTCTAGTTAGAGTAATAGAAGAGAATTATATCTTTACAAAATATTGTCTGCTTTTGTGATGACACATATTTTTTCTTACTATAAATATTTAATTAGTCCATGTGTAGTCGCGTATTTGTTCCTTGCAGAGCGCAGTGTGCGTTAAGACAGTCATAGAAATGGAATGTTACTTTAATGCTAAGTCATCTCACAATTCTAAGTGTGTTACAAAATTCTGGATTACTAAAATTTCTTAAGGGCCCATTCTAATCTCATTAATTTTATTAAGATAGAGCCTTATTCTGAGGCTATATTTTCAGAGCTCTGTTTTAAGTTCAGAACAGCAATAGCTACACTTTGAAATGACCATACATTAAGACTCTCCTTGAAGGGAGAACTCTACATTGACATCGTTTTCTTGATAGCATATGCTCTTGTCTTTGCCTCTGAATCTCTTTGTCTTGCTGTATCAGTTACCTTAGCCTTCATGGGTGGTAGTTGTTGCTTCAGTAAATAATACTGTTTTATTTAAAAATAAAAAAACCCAAACCCAGGTTAAATCTGATCAAGGCATGAAAAGGCATACACTCTCTGGTTAAAATCGTCATTTTATTTTCTGTTAAAATTTTCAATAATCTGAACACCTAACATGTTAAATCAAAATACACCTACTCTACCCACTTCCCAGCTAATGTTTCAGAATAAACAAGAGTTTCTTAGGTGGCATCTCTTATTGCTATGACTTCATCATTTTAACAAAAATATCTTACGGTTCTTTGGGATAACTAGAGCTGAGATTTCATATAGTTAGAGTAAATGAACGAACAAACTATTTTCTCCAGCCTTATTTACCCACTGTGTTTATTTGCTTATTCAATAATATTAAAAACTCAGCAATTGATGGTAACTCCAGTTATCCAGAGAAGTAGGCAACGTTCAGTTGAATTATACGGAGGGCACAGACTAAGTTTTATATCCTCGTGTTTCTAGTGTTTTGGGGTCTTTTTTTGTGAGTACTCATCTTTGGATTGCCTAAATTCCCATGTCAGTGTTATTTTGACGCACATACAGATACATTTTAAGCATGTCCCCTTCTCAGAATTCTCTAAAAATGAAGCTAAACAAGATTCTATAGCTAAACTTGGATTCATGTTACAGTGGGTTTTAAATCCTTCAAATTTTGGACATATGTGCCTACCTGATTTTGGCTGAGTTAGGAATGAATTATGAAACTAGAAAGGATAATAAGATTTAGCCTTTTCTCTAACTTGTCACACAGTCTTGTGTGTACAAAGTTGAAAATACATACTCCAAAACTTTTAAAATCACAAAAACCAGAAGAGAAGGTAAATGAAATAATTTATTTGTTTGAAACTTCTTTCTTTGTTGTGGACAAACTTTTCATAATACTAATGGTTTACTGGCCAAAATAGCTTAAGATATTAAACTTCTCCGCTTTCTCTGTCCAAGCAAAACTGAGGTTGCATAGCGTTTCACCCTTGGAAAATGAATGTACTCTCCTCCTGCTGAGAAAGGTATTTGCCTTGTTAAAATTTGAGTAGATATGATGTTGCATGGCTTCAAAATTTAAAATAAACATGACAAACTAGTTTAGAAGTGGAAGAATGAGCTTTATTAAATATCAGGACTGATTTTGCATTAAATATCTAATTGGAATGAACAGAAGATTACAATTAAGTTGTATGTCTTAAATATATTACACACAAATACACAGTAGAGGTCTTTGTGTGTAGATGTGCAGTGCAGATCAAAGAATAGTTAATACAAAGTAAATATATTACTAGACTAGTTAATTTGTCCAGCAAGTCACCTTACAGTCTGTAGATAAGTGTTACCAGAAATGTTGTTTCACTTAGCTAGAGGTCTTGTTCACATGATGTCGCTTTATTCCTTTATAAATTCCGGTGTCAGGAACCATAAATTTATCGAAAGACTCTTTTTGAAACAAACAGTAAAAGGAAAGTTGATGGGGTAGGCTGCACAGAGCAGATGCTTGTTGCTATTTTCAGAACTCGTGTGGATAGTGTGTGAGAATCTTCATCGCTGCAATAACCAATCACAGGACTGAATTCATTTGTGTAACGACCAGGTTCCTTACAATTAATTAAGTTGATGCCTGTGAAGGGAAGGGGAAGGCTCTAGGTTTCTTCTGAACAACCACACCATTCAAAATCTTTACACTTTGCTCTCTGCAATTTCAGGTCTGCAATTGAAATTCCTCTAAGTCGTGGCCACATGAAGCCAATTTATTGTGTAAAGGGTCAGCTGGAGGAAAAAAAGTTTGGGTTTTGTGGGTTTTTTGGTGGGTTTTCTTTTTTGGTCTGTTACCATCTACTCTTGAGATAATCTGTGAATTAGAGTGGTAATTATGGTGAATAGTGATCCTATTTACTTACTGTATGTGTTCTCATTTACATGTAGAACCGAATACTGCGTTTGTAAACTGTCAGGCTGATATTACATCTTTCCTTTGATAATCATATCACATTACCACAGTCTTCTAGAGTATTCACAATATCTTAAGATTTTTTTTTTAATTAAAAAAAAAACCCCACAACAAAAATGCTTGGGGAAGACTCAGTATTTACATAAATGCGTATTTTAGCAGTGCTATGTGTTTCTTTCAAGCCCAGTGCTCTCAGTCTAAGAGTTAATAATGCTGAGGGATATACAGGTTGCTATGTATCACACAGCAGAGTAGACTGGCATTATGTAAATGCCAGCAGAGGTTAGTAGCAGGGGCACAAGTTGGATTTGGTTTTGTGTGTGTGTGCACGCGTGTAAATGAATACACCAGGCCCAAAAGGATGTCTTTACTTCTGGCTTTGAAAAGGAATCTTCCCTCCCTCCCTCCTTCCCTCCCCCCCATTTAACTAGTACTGCTAGGTCTTTTCCATCATTTAGGTTAGAAGGCTCAGCCCTTATTTATTTGTGACTGGAAGCAAATCCAAATCCTCAGTTGGTTTGAGGATTGCAAATAGAGACTTCAGCCTCTCTGCTGAAATATTTCTAGCTTTTATTGCTTCTGTGGTCTTGGCTATTCCTAAAGCTATTGCTGAAGTCAAACAGCAACTCACCCAAGTGCAGTGATGACTGAGAGGATTCTTTGCAGTACTATGAAGCTTTTCTGTCACGCAGACTAGTAGTTACCCTTCCTCAGGTAGGTAACAGAGGATACTGTTTCCTTGCTACCCTAGTAAGTATAGACTCACTTCCTCTGATAATTCAATGTTCTCTACCAGCTTTCATGGCTGGGCCACACAGAGGGTGAAGGCCTATTTATTGTCTTGGATGGATTGATTGTTTGTTTTTTTAAAAAAAAAAAAAAAAGCAAAGACTTTAGAGGTAAGTACTGCAGTAGGTCCTAGATGCTATTTTCCTTTTGGTACCCTCAGAAGAATCTAATTGTACATGCAAGAACCTCAAAACTTAAAATATTTTTGTGAGCCTGTAATTGATAACTACTTGTCTGTAGCTATACAGTGAAAATGGTCTGATCCTGCTGGAGGAGCAGTAGGCAAAGTCTGGGAGCTTGGACCCTCTTTACTTGTTTTCCTGCTTAGAAATGTCTCTCCCTGTTAATGTTTTAAGACTTCATTTGAGTTAGCAGATTTGCCACTGACTACAGGTATCAGTGTTGACAACTCTGGGAAAAATTAGGAGATTAAAGGATTTCTTACCTTTAAAGGATTTCTTTCCTTCTTACTTAAAAAGACCTTGCAAGCCATAGCCTTGAGAAGTTTCACATTCCATCTGCATATACGGTTTTCTAAGGTAAGCAGCTGAATCAATCAAAATTCACTTTTTATTCTTCAAACTTTCTGATGCTATGTTCCAAGGAAGGACAGGCAAGAGTTTGAAACTTCACTTTTCATTTCATACTGGTGCCCAGCATTCAGTCCAGTTAACTACCGTTTATGGCATTTCTCTCATCTTAATTGTATAGCTTGATTAAGGGTTTTGTGAGAAAAAATAATAATCATAATTTCTACGGCACATAGAATTTTTAGTGTCCAAACATTAAATAGTTAATAGTGGTAGCTGCATTAATGATAGAGGTGTTGATAATTTCAGATATGTTAAAGCAGTCCCATGAAAGAGAGCTGTGGCCATGGATGAGGCTATATTTATAGCCTGGGAAACAGAATAGGGAGGAGAAGATATTCTGGTCCATTGTTCTGTATGCTTTCCTAGGAGAGGAAATTGTCTGGGAGGTATAGGGGGCAGCAACCATGTCTGTGTGCTCTTTTGGCTACTACTCCAGTCTGTCACCATGGTCAGGAATTTGAGGTTTCTAGTGCCTGGGAAGGGAGCTGGACAGACAGAGAACCCATGGTTTTGTAGTTGATTCCCCCTCAATAGTTTTTTATTGGCTGTATAACAACAACTTAGTCCTCTGTTAAAGAAGGTCTAGTTGTTGGCCTGTCATTCTCTGGAGGGGGTGACACATCCTCAGCATTTCCAAGTAAAGTCTAGTGAGGAAAAAAC